TCTACTCTCTCTCTCTCTCTCTCTCTCTCTCTCTCTCTCTCTCTCTCTCTCTCTCTCTCTCTCTCTCTCTCTCTCTCTCTCTCTCTCTCTCTCTCTCTCGTGGTACTGTGCCTTTTTCGATGCTAAGATGTTCAATGCTGTGCCGCAGGTATGCTGACGTTGGCCCGGACGTGTCGGGAGCGATGGCGGGTGGTGGCCGAGAACGCGGGCGGGGCTTTAGACGCCACCTACCGGAGTTCGATAGAAGCGTACTGCGCCAGCCAGCCCAACGTCACCAACGTCATCTACTACGTGGACGTCTTCTGTGAAGACCTGCAGATCGGAATGTTCGGGCCGAGATGTCAGGTGTGTGACGATAATTTGTACGCTATTTGAAAATGTCAACAATAGATTCTAATGCGAAATTCAACTACTTTCTTCATGGTCAATCAAAAACTTGCAATTGAAAGACTGGAAGTTTATACACGTTATACATACCACAATATCACATTCGAGTTTTGCTACCCTGAAATTGCTTTAGGTACCTTAAACAAAAAGTCATCGCTTCTCTTAGTTCCCCATGACGCTTTGAATGGGTCAGCTAACTTCAGAGTTGTAGTATGGCAGCTTACTCACAAGATTGTTCCGCGTTACGTCTACATTTCCGACATTTCTTACACAAGTTTCTCCCCCCAATCCCAGGGTTACGTGGGCAGAGTTAGCGAGGGGTCCACCCTGGCGGAACAGATGTCCCGGCACTGCAGTAAACACGAGGATCTCCTGGAGGCGCTGCTGCACAGCCTGCCGTTCTACCGCGAGGACGGGCGGCCCAACTTCGTAGTCGTGCCCGTGGACTTCGCGCTGCCCGCGGACGCGGAGGACGCCAGGGCCAGCCTCTGCCAGTTTGCTGCTACCTTTACTGAAGTCGGACTGAATCTGCAGCCTTGAACTTGATCGGAGAATGCTGTTGAACTTGAACCAAGTGTGCCGTGTTGTTGTCTTTCTCTGAACATTGCTATCACGTTGTCCAGAAATAATTCAGCATGCTACCATATGTTGCCTCAAGCTGTTCATAGACGTTTTCCTTTTTCCTTTGCAACTTGGAAAGGGAAGCAAAGGGGCCAGCTTAGAATATAGTTGCGACGCTCCCTCCTAGTACTACTAATACCCTGGAGGTCACCGTTATATATCATGTCCATTCCGTCCATCATCATCTGGTCGTGAAAATCTTACGGATGTTCATGACCCTATTCCGTCCATCGAAGAACAATTTTTGATATGTATGTTATTTTTTTGAAAGACAATCGTGCTATGAAAGTTTAACACAAACCTTAACAGTGTTTTCTTAAATATTACGTCTTATTCACTACATATCAGAGATATTGAGAGGTTATCTTGTAATATTTTGATAGATGTTTTCGAAAGTTGAAGTTTGTTTTATGAATTTGGTTTGTGTTCTATAACTTCTACATGTGTATTATCCCCCGACATTTTTGTTTCTCATTTGTTGTATGGGAAGTAAGGAATTTTGTTGCAGAGCTGGTGGGGCGAATAGAGTATCATGATTAAATATTAGATATACGTTTTGTCTAATCATAAAAAAAACTCGGGGATAGTCTATGTTTATTTAATTTGCCTTGTAAATAAAAGGGTGTTTTCTGACAGGCAAGTTGCCAGTTGCGTCATTTGCCATCGAATCACATAAGCATATAGTATTCAATTCAGGATCATAAACGTAATTAGAAACTAAATCAGGAATAAAAGGCTTAGTTGATCCGCTAAAGGAGTATAGTTTGCCGGACCTACTCCCCTTATCACAGTCTATTTGGCCAGTTAACTCTTTCCAGCCGCTTCTGAAGCCTAGAGGCTACTGTATCGGTGGCAGAGCTGCATTTCCCTCGAAAAAAAAAAAAAACTCCGAAAGAAAGTCTGCACAGGAGGCCATGGCCAGCTGAGCTAACAGAAGAGAAGAACCACGCACGGTACTGGTGTTAAATTTCCAATCAAAGTTCTCAAACGAAACCCGCCTCCGACTCAAGCTTCTATAACGCGTATTTAAGAGGCTGAGCCCGGACATG